AAGTACGTCGTTTCAAAATTTAAAAATGACTTAGGTCAATTTGGAATTGACCTAAATTGTGAAATGACGCAGAACATATATATATATAAAAAAATTTAGCAAACAATATACATTGTATAATCATTATGTAATTAAAATCCTGATACCAAGAATTGACCCTTTTACATAGCAAAAAAAAACAGAATTGTTCAAATCAAATATTACTTTTATACATTTATCGTGTAATTGTTTATTTATATGTTGACATATATATTAATTTTAATATGTAATGACGCATTAAAAATTATAAGAACGTGTGCCCTATGCATTTGAAACGTCCCTTTTATATCTCAAAATTTTACCAAATTTTACTATAACTATGCATTATTCTAACCTCTATATAATAGTATAATAATATAAAATAAAACTAAACTCGGAAGTTTGTGTAACATCCACATATCAAGAAAGTATGTAAATCGAGGTTTTTTTAATCCTATCAGGAAAGGTACCGACGATCCATCAGGAACGGTATTTTTGCTATCAAGATTTTCAGCTCTAGGCCACAACAAATATTAACATAATGAGTGATTGTTAAAAGCCTAAAAGTCAATAAACACACTATTCTACGTAAAAAGATACTTTGATTGCCGTAACCAAATTTCCACTAATAATAAATGAAAAAAGAATTGTATCAGAAAACCTTGTAGATTTTATTTTTAATACTCTTCCGATGATGAGTAAAAAGGTTTTTATAATTCTGAATCCAGGATGCAACAACAAAAAATTATTGAAATAAAACTTTTGTGCTGTTGCAATGGTATATTCCAAATACTTAGACAAACTATAATCAATACTTTCTAACTGTAATAAATATTACGTTTATTGAATAAATAATTAATTTATTGCTTATCGTTATTATTTTGTTAGTTTAAAATTTTTTTTTTGTATTTATTTGTTAAGTTTAATAAGTTTTTAGTGCTTGACATATTTGTTTACGTGTGTTCGAGGGTGGCTAATAAATTCAATTTAAAATTTTACAGTTTAGAGTACTTTTTTTTAAAAACGAAAACTAATCATAATGAAATAAAAAAAGCTGTTTATTAGAGCTGTAGGACTCCATAGTCAAAAATAAGATCTAATTCTCGTTCGTTTAAAAAAATTAGCTTAGTAATAGTTGATTTTATCAGGTTTTGAGAGTTATTACTACGTATACTATTTGTTTTTGGCTACGTATGAAATCCTAAAATTAATTAGCCAGTCAGACAAACATCCGTCCGGTTTTAATAATTCGGGTTTATCACATGAATTTTGTGATCTTTTAGAATTTACTAAAATTTAATTGGATAAATTTCTAAAATATCACAAAATTCACGCGATAAACCCGAATTATTAAAACTGGTTCCAATCTGAGAATTATTTGGTAATGTGGTAATTAAGAACGAATGTTATTTTTGAATTTTTCGATTCACCCAACCCGTCATATTACCCTAACTTTATAATAGTCAAAGTTTTATTAAATAAATCAATAACAAAGTTCGACATGAATTAAGTAACTTTTTTTAACATTTTATTTTTTATACCTTACAAATATTGAGAACAGGTTTTAAAATAACCAAACCAATTTTAACTTAGTTTGAAACTTAAATCAACTGGTCTAAGGATTTAATTTGTAACCTAGAAGTTTTAAAACTTAACCAAACATAAACTAACTTCATCTCTAGTTCAAAGCCACATAGATAATTCATATCGTTCATAATTGTTTCTTTCATCATCCTCGATACGAGGATAATATGGTATCAAAGCATCTTGGGCACCAATATATAAATTGTTATATATCTTCCAGTAGATTTCACGGACTTTACGGGCGGGATGGAATAACCCCTGAAGAATTTAAAATTAATAAATACCAATATATTTCACGGTTTACAATGCGAATAATTATATAATTACAAACCTGTAATACATATTGTAAGATCGTTGCAGGACCAATCGCTACCCTCAAACCTTCTATTGCCTCCATGACAGCATTTATGACGTGAGGAGAGGTCTCAAAAATATTTGGCCAAACGTAGTTTAAAAGATGAAGAAGGGCATCTTCACAACCTAATCCGAAAACACCGAGTGACATATCTAAATACACAAAATACGATTAATTCTTGATAAGTAGAGTTTGGGTAATATCATGTAAATACATAGTACTCACGTTTGACTGTAGTGCATGCAGTTTGTCTGTGCACTAAATCACGATCCATCAATGCATCTTCCAATAACGGCGTTACGGCATAGATGTAATCTTTACCCATCTCACCAATATATTCAAATAAGAATGAAAGAGACTAAAAAAAAATACATGAATTTGAAACTATGAGAATGAAATTAAAATGAATATATTCAACCCAACTGACAAGATCTTGACACATTATTTGTTTGCCGATTTTGAAATAATTCACAAAGTGATTATTATAGAAGTTGAATAAGCATCCGAACATTATTCAGAAAGTTTTGTTATTTTGTACAAAAACTTATATATCGCATTATCGTAATAATCAAGACCATGTCAACTGGGTTGGCAGCACTGCTCTATGAATAAGAAATTTCGAACCTTTAGAACACCATTTTGAACATTCAATTCTGGAACGCGGTATTCGTTCATCAACGCGGGTAAGACCGTGAAGGGTGCACAGGTTTCGGCAACTATAGCTGGTATTAAATGAAATAAATAAAAGTAATGTTATTAAACCAGAATATTAAAGAATCAAATTCAAAAATAAGACATACCGATGGCTACTGTAGTGCAAACTCTATTTTGACGTTCTTGAACCTTTAAATTATTAAGTAACGTTGCCAAAACATCTTGTGGACCAATTGCTTTAGCGATATAGCCAAATGTGTTTACCGTGGCACGACGGATACCCTTTTTATGTGCCTTAAGCATATCTAATAACTCGAAACATATGCGCATCCATTCTCTTGCACTAACAAATTCTGCACCACGATCAGCAATACGACCTACAAGATCAATACAAGATTCTTGTACTTTCTAATAAATTGAATTCGCATAAAAAATACAGCTATTTTTAGTAAAGTAAATACAATCATATAATAACCGATAATAAAGTTGAAATGTAACCTCATGTCTGTTCTTCAAGATAGGCGTCAAACGGGGAAGAAGATCTTTAATGGGTGGTGTCATGCTTGACATTCCAATTACATTGACAATAGATTTTAATCCTCCTAAAATAGATCCAAGCACTTCTGGATATTCTTCGCCTAAATATTCGTAAAGGACAACACCAAGGTGACCCATGAGTTTTTCTTCACCACATGTCTTCATGACAACAGCGATACGAGATATTAGATCGGCGGCTTGTTGACGAACTTTTGCCGATTTGTTGTTGAGACGCCACAAAATAGTAGAAGTAATTTGTTGCAAATAAGGTTTTACACGAAGTCCCAGAGCATTGACGACTGTACCAAACCCATTCAACATTACAATGTCCTCTACAGTTTGTTCTTGAAAAGCATATAAAATACCATCAATTAACACTTCTTCCAATCTAGTATCAATATCTGCTGCACCCAATTGACTGACAACTTTTTCAACAGTTTCCATGACCATTTTTCTATATGGTTCAGACTCATCTTTTAAGTCTTCAACAATTCGACCAACAATTTCAGTAACACCAACCTTCTGTGCGAGTTCAACAGTCGTTTCTACAACTTGGCGGTAATTTCGACGATCGAGAGCCATGCGTCGAACCCAAAAGTTTTTGAAAAATTCTGGAAGAATTTCTTCTTTAATATATTTGGGTTGAACACCGTCAGTTGCAGCACATTGCTTTACGACCTTAAGAACAATCTTTTTCATTTCTTCATCAGGAGATTGAAATTCTCGAATCAAAATAATCATGACTTCCTTTGTATAGTAATTAGCATATTCAGCATCCATTAATGGAATAATGTATCCAATGGCCTTCAAAAAAGCAGCAAGCCCTTTACCACGATGTTTACGAATACCAGTCCAAAGAGGCTTGAGAACAGAATCAAATGACTCTATACCATATGGTGCAGCGGCTTCAGCTAAAGCAGCAATGGCTAGAGCGGTAATAGTACGAACTTTTTGCTGTTCATCCTTTTATTGCATAATAAATTATAAAGAAAATGGGTAAATAAGTTCAAGCTAAAAGATTATAGGACAGTGCAACTACTAAATATAAAATACCTCTAAACCATGAGCAATAGCTTCCACTAAATTTTTTAAATGGGGCAGTACTGCACATCCCATAAGTATAGCGATTTGTTGAACAATCTTAATACCAGTATGTCTAGCCTGCCATGACTTTTTACTCTTACATACAGCCTTCAAAAATGGAAGAAGTGCAGGGATACCATGAGCAGACGCAACAACAGAAAAAGCACGGGCAGTAGTATTTCGGACATATTCATCCACATGGTCAATGTCTTACAAGTTTTAATAGGTGCATTAGTCATTTTTACCACGATTTTAAACAAAAGATCATTTGAACTTAAATACCTGGTCTCATAGTAGCAATCATAGTTGGCAATCCTGCAGCTTTACTCAAGTTGCTTATAATTTCACGCCCCTCTGTAATAATACAAATAATATTAAGATTTATAATTATATTATTAAAGTAAAAACAAAAAGTGTAGCGCACGTATGGCCAGTTAATGTAACGAATTTCATATAACTTACCGCATCGTGCGAAGTAATCTTCATCGATCAAGAGCGGTTCAATAACCACAAGGATCTTATGAACATAAGGACGAACTAAAGCATCCAATTTATAAAGTATACGGTCTATAACTTTAACCAACAAATGTCTTTCCTGATCTTCTAAATTTTGCGACATCAAAAGTGGAAGGATTTGGTTGAATAGGGGGCCTGCACCAAAATCTCGAGCTTTGTCAGTTATTTGTCGAAGCGCCGTCTTTCTCATGGGCGGGGTTCCGTTCTTAATCTTCAGAAGAAGACGCATAATTTTGCGTTCCTTCAACTCATCAACAGATAATTCGCTTTCATCTTTGTCTTCTAATAATTTACCAAAGTGTTGCATGTCTTCTTGTTTAAAAAATGGCAAATTGCCTACACCTGGAATTTCAGCAGGTAGGTCATAAGTTTGATTTCGGTCCTCCTCCAACATCACAAATCCATCACCACCCATAGGCGTTGGGGTAGCCATTAATTTGCGAGCAGGTGTTCTAATGGGAACGTATCCTGGTGGTGGGTCCAAAATTTTGTACCCAGTTGAAGGAAACATTGCATCAAGTTCCTCATCTGTAAGAGGTCGATTGCGTGCGTCTAAATCTCTTTCCCATCGTTGTGCTATTTTTTTTTTTAATTTAATAATGTACGAAGTTACATCATTTTTAATGACTACAAACAAATTTATACGAAATTTAATTTTGAACATTTATGATAAAGTGTCTAACCTTCAGGAGTCATAAGAACAAGATGCCCTGGAGTTGGTGTGAGAAGACCAAGGTTACCAATAGGAGTGGCACCCATTTGGACAGACGGATGTGCAGGGGTCTCGTCCCAACGAGATTTTTTTGTAGAAACCTGTGGAGTAACATCCCACCTGCTCCTTTTGCGGGGAGTCTCTAAACTAGAGTCTTCATCCATTGTCCTGGGCGTTTCATCCCATCTGCTCTTTGATATAGGTGCCTCATCATCAGGTTTTGACCATTCAGAACTTGATTTAGCTTCTACGGGTGTCTCCATGTCCCATCTTCGTTTCTTCTGAGTAGCTGCTTGTTCTATCGATGCCTCTTTGACCTTTTCCTTTTTTTCTTTAACTATCTCCTCAACTTTACGTCTAACACGTTGCTCTTCTCTTTCTAACTCAGCCTCTCGCATAACATCAGCATAGGTGCGCGAATCACCCTTTCCATCTTCTCCTTCTGCAAAAGGATCATTTCTGTCTGGTGAAATCGCTCGATTTAATCTACGTGAGTGGTATTCGCTCTGTCGATCAATAATTCTGCGAGAACCTTGCCGCTCTTTAAATGGATCAATATCATCGTCACTACCCACTAGATCTTCATACACGTCAGAAGGTGCTGTGTAAGTGGCAAGTCTCTTTGACTGTTGTTGAATAGCGTCCTCTAATTAACAGTAAATGATATGTTAGTTAAGATTAATAAAACAAAACACACTAGTCATTATGAACATGATTTCACTTACCTGTAGCCATCTTAAAAAAATCAAACTTTTTTTTTTTACATTTCTCAGCTAGTTTTTTATTGAAGATATATATATCAGTTTGTCGAGATGTCACATGTATATTTTTTAATAGTAGATCAAACGATCGACGCATCTAAATTTATGTAAAATTTAGGCAAAATTTGCTTTCTAAGCTTATTTAATAATAAAGGAATTCTCGGTTTAATTTCTGGGTATCATTTCGCAAAATTCTTTGGCATTTGAAGGTTCTTCTTGTGAAATTTTAAGGAGGGTTAAAAACAAAATACAAAAGAAGCTTGGTAGTGAAGTTGGGCAATTTTTTTACAATTTTTTATGTGATAATAAGTGATGTATAGTAGCCAACAAAATTAACGCTCAGAGGATGGCGTTCCTAGTGTAGTGATTGGGTTGTCATCCTCCAAGTGGCAGGTTAAATGTTCAAATTCAATCTACGATGAATTTTGAAAATTACATATATGTTATAGTAATGGTTTCCAGTTAATTGGTTAGTCTTATATGACTGTAACCAAATCTAGTAACTTGAAAGCTTAAGGTATATATATGAAGTATAATGTTACATGTCATGTTTGCTAGTGTTGTATAATGCTTCAATGCAAACCTGTGATAAGATTATCAAATATAGAAGATTAAGAAACCAAAATAACAAAAATCTATATAAAAATTTTCATGTTAAGAGATATTATAGATTTTTAACAGTATTATCAGACTAATTGAAGTTTACAAACCATTTTCAAAAGAATAGATTGAATAAATTAGATACAAAATATGTGTTAAAGAACATATAGCCAATTAGGTTATCAGATTTGTCAAAAGAAAAGATATATAAATATATTACATTAAGTTATCTGAATTAGTAGTTTAGTCAAAATTTATTAGTTTTAAGTAGTAATAGTAAGAGATAATAAAGAAGATATTAGAAAAAATAGGTATCAGAATCTTAATAAATTTTGCAAAGATAGAAATAATGTAATGTAATAATTAAATAGATAACTTTTGTAATTGCAAGTATTAATTAACTATAGTATATTATATAAAACTAGGTTAGTTACATATAAGACATAACAGATTTTAGTAAGTTTCTTGTCAAAGATAAATAATTTTAAGAATACTTAATCTATTTAAACTCTTTGGCTTATCTAATCAGTATCTATATATCTTTATTTTACTCTAAGGTCAAATATTCTATTGCTGCTTTCTATTAAGAATTATTTATATTAAACTTAATTTTTTTTTAAAGTTTTATTTTATAGTATTATAGTATTATAGTGCTAAAGTATTATAACTAATTAAAATTTAAGATCAGATGTAACATATACAGTCAAACCTCTCTATAATCACACCCTACCCTTCAAGATAAAGATTTATATATTTATAAAATATTTTTACTAAAATATACTTATAAAAAGATTTTTTAATATATTTATATATAATTAGTTTTTAAATAAATATACTTATAAAAAAATTTTTTATATAATATGCTTATAATAAATATGACTATAGAGAGGTCTGACTGTAGACTATTTTTTTGTATAACAAAAATAATAACTTTTTGAAAAATTAATTATATCTTAAAATTTTGATTAGAAAATCATTTTTTGTATATCAATAAAAAAAATTTTTTGTAAAATTTTAGTATAATTATATTTTTTCTAATTCTAATTTTAATTTTAATCTAATTTTAATTAAAAGTTTTATTTTTTATAAAAAAAAGATTGGTTTAATTTATTTTTTTTAATATTAAGATGACCTTTTTGGTTCTAGCTTTTTATTAATACTTATATCAAGTATATGTTTCTATAGATACAGTATATCTATATTAAACTATCAGATAAGTGTACAACTAGCTATATGTGTAACTTTTCTATATTATCTATTTAAGAAGTTTACCCAAGGGTTCTTTACCAATTGCTATATCTAATACTTCTGTTTAGATGTTCTATTTAAATCCTCTGATCTGATTCTAGTATTAATTTCATTAGATTACAGATTCAGCTCTATTCATATTTAACTATAAGACTATAATCCTTAGACTATTTTTATCCTTGAGGCAAACCTACCAGAATGAGCTGTATTCCCTTTTACTGCTAATCTGGTTTAATACTATAGTTAAGACTAATACTTGCAATTAGGGTTATCTGTTAAATCACTATTTTTCTTGTAAAGTTTACCCAAATCCTGGTATCCATCTTTTTGACTTCTTCTCTATCATTCTTTACTAGCTGTAACTCAGAACCAACTGACTTCTCAGACTTTTAATCCAGATGGCCCAATATGGTATACTTATATATACTTTTTTTCTGCCAATTTTAGCATTCTGGTTGGTTATATACTTCTCTATACATTTTGTTATCTGATTTATTCAACAGTTTCTATAAAGGTGTTTTATGGGTTTTTATTAGTCCAATGGTATTATCAAAAGTTTGTGCTATCTTTTTACTTAGGATTTCTAAGTAGATTTCTGTCTTCTTAATTTCTTAGCCTTTTATGTTTGGTAATCTTATCACAGGTTTGCTTTAAAATCTTATATGACATTAGTTTTTTACATTTTTTTATATATGTATAATATTATACTTTGCATAGATGTCTCAAGCTTCCAAAATCAGATAGAATCTGAATTGGTGTATCTAAGATTACAGATGCCCAAAACTCAACTAATTGGTAAGAGACAGTTATCATAACACAAATATAATTTCCAAAATTCATCATCTGTGAAAATTGAATCTTAGATCTGCCACTTGAGGGTTAACAATCTATTCACTTCACTAGGTTGTTATACCCTTATTGTTTTAATTTATATGTTATACCAATTATGTGTTTACATATAAAATTGCACTGTAGTACTATAACATTATAATAATATATCTTTTTTTTTATATTGATATTCAGGTTATAACAAAATCTATTATTTGGCAATAAGACACAAAGAGTCTTTCTGTTAATTTACCTATTTACTCTATAAATCTTAACAGAACTGTATTTTTATAAAGTTTACCCAAGCTCTAGTACTACTTTATAACATATTCTTAGTACTTTAGTATATCTTTGCTTCTGTTTTTTAATTTTTAATTTAAATAACTTATATAAGACTATAACTAATATATTAGTATATTGAATCAGTCTGATATCTTTTTCTTTTAGTTTTTTTAGTTAAAATTTTGATAGTCTGATTAATAATACTTTCTGTTAAAAGATTTTTGTTTATCTAATTTTTTTATATTAGTATCTGTTCTAGATTTAACTTTTATAATAATACTATCAAAGATCTGTATTATTTCTTTATTTAGGCTTTTCCAAATAAGCTTTTTGTTTCTTAGTTTTAATAGATTTATATAACTACAAAAACTTATTTTAGGTTTATACTACTTAATGCTAGTTTGTATTTTTTTATATAATTAGTTATACAGATGTCTCATAATCTGTTAGTTATGCTGATATAATTATTACTATAAGTATCTTAATTCAATTATTAAAAACAGTTATTATAATATTAGTAGAAATTCAAATTTTTATTATTAGTAGGTTTTGAATTTCTAATCTGTTACTTAAAAGTATAACAACTTATTTATTTTACCAAATTACTACATCTTTCATTAATTAGATTTTAATTATATATAAACTATTAATAAATTTTAAATAAAAATATTATTAACTATAATCTGTAATAATTATCATTTTAATGCTATATTTTAAAAACATAACTAAAAAACAAAAATTATATATACTAAGCAGAATCCTTCAAAACCTAGTATAACATATATTTAAAATATTATATCTAACTTCTGTCTTGGTCTTAAATTATATTTTAACTATAAAAATAATAAAATAATAATTATCATAGATTATTAAAATTATATTTTTTTAAATAAATTCTAAAAGTTAATATAAAGAATAGTAATCTTAGTGTAGTAGTTAGGTTGTTATATTTCAAGTAGTAGATTCAGAATTCAAATTCTATTAATTGTAAATTTTTGAAAATAATTTTATTTTGACAACTTGATTGAAGTATCTAAGATTATAACTTTGTAATTTTGATTGTACTAAAACTAACTTTAAAAATATAAAATATTATATAAATAAATTTAAAAAATATATATTTTATAAAAAACTCTGTTTAAAATTTTAAATAGAACAATAGTATAATTTTTGATGATACTACTTGTAAAAATCTTGATTCAAAAATAAAAACCTAAAACAAATGATCTATATATACAAAAATTCTAAATAAAAAAATCCACTAATCTGGTTATTAGTTAAACTGAATATGAAGTTATATTATACAGAACTAATTAAATTGGTAATATAAGAAAACTTGCAAGATATTAATAAGATTTTAAAGAAAAATACTAAGGTTGTATAAACTTTACAAAGATATAATAATTTAAGAATTACTTTGATTATAAATGTTGATCTTAATCATAATAATACTAGATTAACTGAAAATTGGATAACAGAAAACTTTAGTGAGTTTAGTACAAGATCAAAGGTTTTTTATATAAGTGAACTACTTTAAAGACCTAATGATTATAGTATATTTGAATTAGTAAAAAGCTAAAACAGTTGGTAATTAAAAACTATAACAGAGAAAAAACTCTTTCTGTCGATTATTCAGATACAAATAACAGCTAAAGAACAAAAAAATTTTAGCAAAGTTAGCAATAAGAAACATTTCAAGTAGCTCTAAACAAAAAGAAGCAGCAACAGGAAAAGCAATAGACTAATAGAAAAATAGTCTATCTGCAAAACTAATAGCATAGTTACTAAAGAAAAAACAGAAAACTTACTAAAAAATGACAGTAGTGGGGAATTGCCAATAGATCCTGTAACATAGATCTGTTTACATTACACAAAAGATATGTAATAGCAAAACAACAACAGACACATGCAGGCTACCAAATTAGAATAGACATCACAAATCTTATATTAATACACATGGAATTCTATATATAAATAAGCAAAGTAACAAAAAAAACTAACAACCAATTAGAAGTT